AGCAAGTGGAATAAGTAAAAAAATATAGATAGTACGAAAATATCTGAGATAAATTCACAGGAAGAAAGTAGGGAAATGGTAAAGTTAAACGGAGTAACTTTGCTGATCCAGGTTTATACTGGAAATGAGTTTATGTTGATACTAAAGAATTTTTAGAAAAGACTGTGTAGACATAATTTAAAGAAAAGTAATCTCTATTTGAAACAGTTCAATCATCAAAACTTTAGGATGCTTTGAAGGCACGTTTGAGACAAAAACAGATTCGCGATAATACCCATCACAGTGGTGGAAAAAAATAAGAAGTCACGATCTTTTATGAATTGACATGTTACGAGTGGATAGACTGAAGCTGTTAAATTCCATGAAATTTGTAGAACCGGGTGTTAGATTGTTACGAGGATACGAGGCGAGGATTCGGCTTAAAGAAAATATTCAACCCATGTATTTTCAAGTCCGAAAAGTTCCTGTTCACATGCTACCCTTGATGGTTGCTAAGCTGAACAAAATGGTAGAACAAGGGATATTAGAAAACGTTAGCCAGAATTTGTGGCGATTATAAGGTGGTTGTGGATCACCAAATATTTCCGGATTAGTTCCCGTTGCCAAACATTGAAATAGTGTGCCATGAGTTTGCTAATATGACATACTTTGCTAAAGTTAGCATATAATCAGATAAAAAATTGATATCAAGTTTCAAGAAGTCACCACAATGAACTTGGATTAATAAGATGGACTCGTCTGCCATTTCGAGTAAAAACGTACTCAGTATTTTCCAAAAAGCCATCGAAAAAGTTTTAGAGGGGATTAAAGATATAATTGTATACCAGGACGACATTTGGCATTAATGCACTCAGTAAAGTAGAGCCCAAAAATTAAAACGGAGCAGGTTTTGAGAAAATTAAATAGCGCGGTATCTGTCTATATTTCTGAGATGAGGTATTATGTAGACTATTTACATTATTCGGACTATTTTCCTCATCTTTGTTGCCATATATACAGGATACATGGCGCAGTGGATAAAGGCGTTTGTTAGATCCAGTGACAGGACCCAAAGAGTGCGAGTTCAATACCTGTTTAAGGCGGTGGAGAACTTGGAAAGGGGAATTAACAAGAGATAACTGATAACTGACATCCATTAGACATGGCACGTGGAATTAGAACAGTCTACCCCAGCGAGCGAAATAAAGGGTTCATTTCGACATTCCAACCACCTGAAGAAGGCCGGAGCGTACAACGGCCGAAACGTTGTGATAAATATAGCAACAAAGATGAGGACAATTTATCCGAATAATGTAAATAATAGTGTAATAATAATAGTGTAAATACCGAGGGTATGACAATTAATCGCGGTAAATGCAAGTTTAAATGTGACGAGATTTCGTACTTAGGATGTCAGATATCCAAAGATGGTATATTGCTGGATGATAAACTCATTAATAAGATATCAAAGATAGTTGCATCCAGATATAAAAAAAAGAGAATCTTTTTAGGATTAACCAATTTCTATAACAAATATCTGCCGGGTTATAGTGACTTTGTTGCTTCGAGGTTGCTTTCGAGAAATTAAAAAAGGCACTCATAAACAAAGCAGTTCTTAAAATTTTCGAATTGACATTGACGACTGATGCCAATGACTGTGCTATAGCCGCAATATTGTTACAAGGGGGATCACCCTGTAATGTACTTATCCAGAAAACTAACATCGGCGGGCCTTCCTTCAGTAAAACATATTCTAAATGATACAAAACCTTTTGTCTTCCCATTTTTCCTTTTTTCTATATATCGTTTTCCCACATTTCATTTCCATTCTTATATACTCTGAAAAACACTTTTTCGTCAATATTGAAGAATTTTTTGATCTTTTAATTATCCGTTTCAGCGTTGTAATCTAATCGCTGTATGCGTAGGAATTCCTTTTTCAGAAACATAAATTGATTTTAGAACTCGGTGGTCCGTTTAAACGAAAACTCCTTCCGTGTATAAATTTGTGAGATCTTTTTCACTTCAAATATTATTGCTAACGCCTCTTATGTGATCTCGTATATTTTATCTCTCGGTAGTGGCGAACGCGAAGTATGTGCGACGGCTCTCATGTCACCGTTACCATATGTAGAATTACTGCTCTTATACCATAGTGATTAGCATCTGAAACCAATACAATTTCTGCTTTTGGATCGTCGTGATCGAGATAAGTCTGATGTTAGTATTTTCTTGAATTCTTCAAACGCCTCCTGACACTTATCAGTCCAGTTCCATTTTACGTCATTTTTTATGCAAATTGCTCAGTGGAGCTCTCAAATTCTGTATATTAGGTATATAGATCTGATAATCGTTTGCTAGTCCTAGAAATGATTATAACTTCGTAACGTTTGTTGGATGAGGCATATTCTTACTTGCACTTTTCGTCGACGGATCTGGATCATTTTTTGTCAATTATTTGTCCTCGGTACTTGATTTTAGGCAAAAACAATTCGCACGTTTCCTCGCTGGGTTTGAACCCCTATTCTCGTATTTTTCAAAAATTCTTTTCACATGACCGATATTTTCTTTCTCAGATACACTTTTAATTAATATATTACCGAAATAAGCAACTGCAAAATCACAATCTGTAAGCATAGTAACCATAGCGTGTTGAAATATAGCTGGAGCAACTTTTATCCCAAAAGAAAGTGGATTCTACTTATACAATCCGTTGTACCTATTAATTAATTTGCACATTCTTTTTAACCTTGCATTTGAAAATAGACTTCAGAAAGATACCAATTCAAAAAAAAGTCCACTGTTTAAATTCCGGAAAATCTTTTTTCAGTTTTTTTTACAAATTTTCACATTTTGTTTTTTTTTTAACTTGTAAAGCTTGTCCACTTATATTTTTGCATTAAATACTTATAGGTAAATCCCACAATTCAAATAATTCCATCCAGTCGGTTTGTAGTATTAATACATAAGCATTAGTTTTTACACAATTGTTACGATATGAAATGTTACAAGTCATTTTACCAATAGAAAATAATTTCTTACCCGATACGCCAGGTGCGATTTTCAAAGTTCTTTTTAATAAAGGCTTTAAGTTTTCTTTCCATGTGAGTTCTACCAGTGTCAAGTTGCTTTTGTATCTGCACATTATGTTCACATACACAAATTTTCCTTGGTTTTATTTTTCCTGTTTCAATGCTGTGTACGAAATTGTTTTTGTGAGAGCTTTTTCTTGCTTTAGTTTTACAGTGTGACTTTTTATATCTTACTTTTCCACACTTGTCACATTTTGAATACTTAGTCGTCTCCGAGATGCAAATTTCCACATCTGAAAAATGAATTATTTTTTTTCCGTATTTTCTTTAGCTTGTATATATGAGCTTTTCTTTTCATCAGTTTCTTCCTAATCGTGTCTCAGATTTAGGATTCTCTGACATTCGTCCGATATTTCTTGTAATGTTAATTTTTGATTCTGTTCAAGTTTCGTTCAAATTCTAGCACGTATTTCTGGATCTTTTTTTTTTTCTCCGTTAACGCTAGAAATTTCAAAAATCTTTTTCTGATGTTAAGATTAAGTGTTCTTTTTGCATCGAGTTTCTCTAAAACTTCATCATTGCTCACATGTTCAGTCCATGTTATTCTCAGTAGAACCACATTATTGTTGTCTCGAGTTTTTCTTCATCTGTGTGCCCAGCATTCACTACTTACAGTATAGAAGGACTGATATTAAATAACATTTCATTTCAAAATGTTCTTTGCTTCCAACAAGATTTTCCTGTTTCGTAATGATTTGTTTTGCTTATGAAAGGCATATACTGCTATCCAAGTACACCTTCGGGTTTCAGTATTGCATTTTCCGTCTTCTGTTAAAGCACTTCATGGATATTTCAATTTTGTACTTGTTTGCTTCTAGTATCACCAATTTGTAATTTACATGTTGGGGTGTTTCTTTTGCTGACAACAATCTATTGTGTTTTCTTGCAATTGATATTTAGTTTTTCTGTCTTGCCTTCAATAACTTCTGTAGGAGTTCTTGTAGTTTCCTTTCTGTGTCAGTCATTTACATTGTATCATCTGAATATCTTATGTTAAGATTGCGGCCACCAATAAGGAATTAATCCACAATTAACGGCCAATAATTAAGCACATTCGTATATAAATTACTACTGTATTTGATGTGAGCACTTTATAAACTATTACTACACTATGGCACACGAACATAATTACAGGATAAATAGTGAGGATTTATATTTATAATGACTTTTGAGATTGGGCCATCAATGTTTCACATTTACATGTCTCGAAGTTGATAAAAGAATTATATAAGAACTAAAAGAAACAAGGAAAATTGTAATTTAGTCTTCGTAAATAGTCATGTGTGATGGAAACATTGTTCCAAGACAGCAAACCACTCCCAAGCCAACCTGCGTATGCATGGCCTCATGGCGAATGAAGAAAAATGCAAGAAAAATCAAAGACTCTGCAATGTTATCGGTCCTGACCTGTCATTTCGGTTTCAATCACTTTCTCACAACCATAAGGTAGCTTTCTTGTGTCGTTTCTGTATTTTTATAAGAATTTTCATGATAATTTCTCTGATGAGCTTTCCTCCTTGGTACCTCAACATTACTATTCAAGTGCAGTACTAGATTAGTAGCTAGGTCTCATTATTTTACAGCTGAAATTTTTAGATACAACCGTAAGTTCTACGATAATAGTTTTGTTTCTAGGACATCGTTTGTAAAACTCATTTTTGGTGTCTTTTCTTAAAGAAAGCAATATTTATCGGTATATTCTGTATTCTTAATTCGTCTTCCTTTTCTCTCCTTAGTAATGTTTTACTTTTTCTCATATTCTTTTACACTCAGTAACCCGTTGCATTCTATTATCTTTCTTTGCTTGCTTGGGGTGAAATGATTTAAAAAAAAAAAGATTCCCATTCCTGCACCAAAAGTAGATATCCCTTACTCAAATTGCAACCCGTACTGGGTATCCGATTTCGGCTTTAGATATCACATGCGTACCCACGGACGCTGACTGAACAAGACATTCGTCTTCCACGAACTTTGAGAAACAGCTATTGAATCCCAGAGACAATTGTCTAGGGGGTTAAACTGTTGGTTTGTGAATTTGGCGTCATATTAATTGTGAGTTAAATCTCTGTTATGGGTAGTACACACTTAGTGGAAACAATGGTTGCAACATCAACAGACGAGATATACCTGAATATAAGCAGCGGAACGAGGTCTCTCTGCCCTCGTAGATAAAGAGTATAATTCAAAATTCCCTGACGGTTACGCTCATCAAAACACACCTCATTTGCCGAAATGTTGCGACAACTAAGTTGCGAACAATAGTCCGAATACAAATAATGAAAATCATAACATCTCATCCCAGATATTCAGATAGATAAAAAAAAAATAGTTATTTTATTCCTTATAGCAACTGCAAAATGGCTGTAGGGATGCAAAGAGTAATTATCTCCCTTTGCCTGAGACGAATTCACGGGGTTCACACGGCGGCAGATGATTGATTGTTGAAGACTAGTGCTATTTATCCCGCCTGGAAAATTAACCTGTCTGCCCATGTCAGTTGCTATGTATGCCACGGAGAGGACGGACGTCACAAGCATACAGTGGTAGGGTATTCAGAAAAAACCACATGTTCTCACAGGAAATATAAAAGACACCATCGTCCTGCACTTTTCTCTGTTGGGAAATATTTCAAGTAAGACCCTCTCTCTCTTTTCGCCCCTTTCATACTGCTTGTTGTATACATGTGTTATAATTTCTCTTTGTGGGACAAATTAATAACAAGTATGTATATATCGGTATAAAACATCTATTTGAGAACACTACTTTTGAAGGCTTTTCTGTATTGCGGATATATTAATGCTTATAATGGGGAAATTATATTGGGAATATTCCTTTCTTACATAGCAATCCTTTATGGCCGATACCCTGCGCTTTGGTTAGATTTTCTCCAAAGATTCTTGGGCTAACGTATAAATAGACAAATAGAAGAAAACTGCAAATATCTATTCATATATATGCATACATATATTGTGAAATACAAACAAACAAGATTCCAACAGACTCAATGTTATGTATTCAATCAAATAATATTAACATTAAACATTCTGAGTAAGACTTCTGAAATGCTTAAGCAGCCTCTAATATGCAAAAACTTGTTTCAAATCTGTTAGGGCAAACTAATTTCCTTCCCTTATAAAGGACGGTAACTCTAAATAAAATTGAGTTACTTCCCTTGTCTTCTAAATTGACATGCACGCGTAATTTATTGTTTTAATTTATGCAATCATTGCTATTCTCAGGATGAATAAAGGTTGTTTATTTATATTAAAATATAATTCTCTTTTATTTACTTCCTTTTTTGTTCATTCCAACGGCCTGGAATATAACAAAATCCAAGAAGAAAACATGACAACACAAAATTTTTAGAATCTCTAAAGATATCGAAATTCTCTAAAATGATTAGAAGAACTTCAATAATTTAATAAAGACTACTCTTATTGCTAACCTCAAGTCACCTCCTGCCACTTCGGACAGGCTGAAGATAAATGGGTGTCAGTTGAGTGGTGACAGTGAATTTAAATTCTTTGTCGAGGAAACAGAGAAAACTGGAGATACGGTTCAAGTAACGAGAGAACTATTGTTATCAAAAGAATACAAATCCGTTTATATATTTTGAATGGTGCCAAGTCAAAGCTAACGTCTTAACGTGGCACTATTTTTCAACTTTCTTTGACCATTTTAATGAGTTTTCTTTCTTTGACGGTATTGTATTTCGTTTTTCCATATTAGATGGTGTTTAAGCATTTCAAATGTTCATTACAAGCATCTCCACTAATATCGACAAAGAAAATCAAGAAGAAAAAGTTGGGATATATAAATAAAGTTGTAATTTAAAATATTATCAAACGGTTATTTTCCTTGCTATTTTAGATCATACTTGTAAAATCGTTGATATCCCCGGGAATATGAATCTAATAAAAATAAAAAAAAAAGCAGGTTTACTCAAGGAAGGTAAAAGAGAAATCCAGAGGAAAGCCTATCCCTAGTAGAAGATCACACGTTTTGTATCAGAAAAGCGCGATTAATTTTTTTTTCTCCTCCTTTTGACGTTATGGCTTTTGCCGCCTGCCAGTGCGTGTGTCGATTGGTCGTTCGTTCCATTTCATGCCACACGATGATTGGGCGTACGTGAATGCGCACTTCACTTTGCATGATGCTGATGGACGGCCAGACGTTTTGCCATCCACACTCGCTTAAAGGCGAGTCGTGCTTCGCCGAGCATGTAGCATTAATGGACAACCCGGCTCACTTGCTGACGGTCTCTGTTTGACGATTCGCGCTCCACAACCCGGTCAACTTTTGATTCGTTCGACTCAGCTCCCCACTACAAACAACCCACTTTTATGCATGTCACATCTCTTTTTTCCCAGTTTGGAAAAATAGGTGGGTGGATACAGTGATGGGGTCGTGTTAGAAATGAAGAAAACTATGGTGAAGAAAAGAGAATGAATGAAAAATATTCAGAGAATAAGATGCAAAGAGCCATCTTAAATTAACCCTGACTGAATTGTTAGAATAGATTATATAGTCGCGGATTTTCTGTCAAATCCGAGATTTTAGAAGTTCCCACGTCGCCAAAGCTTTTTCTTTCTAATCTTATATCTTATTTCTTGTGAGCTCATCTTCTATGGACGTCGCCTTTACGGATATGGCCATGGAAGTGAACGACTAAGCAAAGCCCAAATCTATAGTCATAAAAGTACAATTTTGCTCCAAATTATCATGCTATATTATTATCAATCACGTGTTGGTTTTAATTTAACTCAATTTTTGCATGAAGAATTTTCATTGTTAATATTTAACAAGTTTTTCTTTCATCTCATTGTTTCTCCTTATGACACTAGGTTGATGTACACCTCGACCATTAAGGCAAGCAGCGTAAAACTGTTAAAAATGTAGCTACTGTCGAAATTGGAACGCACATTTAAATCATGGCAACTATAACATAGTGAGGGTAAACGAATAATAATGGTAAAGAACAGAAAGGATGAAATGGCAATATAATTCTAAACTTGGAATCTACCAAAACTTGATGGCCCAATCCAAAAAAAAAAAAATGCTTCGTACATGTAAGACGAGCTTCTGAAATATTAATATATATTAGACTTAAGTTATTTCAATTATACAATGTATTATTATTATTATTATTATTATTATTATTATTAATTTGGGATGAAAGTTCAAATGTTGCCAGTTTCTATATTCCGATTTTACGCTGCTGATTTTAAACGTCAGTGGATATGTCGAACTTCAGACAACGTCTAATCTGGGCAATTGTTGTGGTTTAAACCAGCGCAATTGCAAGCATACCGAAAGGAAGTTAACATGAAAAGTTGCACAGAGGTGATCTGTAATTCTGCAATGTTACAACATTCAACCGTGATTAATATATTTTCTAATTTTCCTCCTTGTGAATATGCTATATATATATATATATATATATATATATATATATATATATATATCGCTTGAAGATGAAATGGAACTAATGCTTTTAATTTAATTGCAAAATTAAATTCGGGGTTTTAGCTTCTATTTTTGAAACATGGTTGGAACTGTGTAGCGAAAAAAAACATATTTTAAATCAATTAATTTATAATATTAATGCTCTGTAAATTTACATTGAGCACTATTTTGTAAAAATAAAAATATCTATAAGAACACCGGATTTTATATCTTACTGTTCTTTTCTTTATATATATATATATATATATATATATATATATATATATAATAATGAAACGGACTAATTCCGACAATTATTTTCATATATTTTCTGTTTATACGTTATTTTTATAGATACAAATATTTAAGTAAATGTTCTGTTTATAATAAACAGTATTAACATTTTCCAGCCTGAATGTCTGAGAAGTGACCTCCGACAGGAATCGAACCTGTATCCTACACGGAACCATCATATAGCCTGACGTGATATACCATTTAGCTACAGAGGAAGCCTCTGGTTAGTAAGGTTGAATTATTGTTTTTAAACTGCAAATTTCCCATGATTTCTATTGAACGCTCATATCTGCTCGAAGCGTATATTAACGTAAACGTGTAGTTTGAAAACAGTAATTCAACCTTGCTAACTAGACGATTCCAATGTAGTTTTTTTTTAATTTAAAGACGCCGATGAATATCCAAGTGGTTAAATGAAATGTTTAGACATTTAGACCTTAGATTATCTCCTGTCGCATCTTCGAAAGGGGATTTTTAAGTTAAAAGACGCTGTAGGGATATTATTATTGCTATTAATAATTAAATTAATAATAATAATGAAAGTTATGAATAAAATAAAATGAAAGATTATTATATTTTAACCTTGTTTTAAATAAAAAATAAAAATAATAATATTACTCCCAACATGCAACAGGAACTGTTCCTGCCGGAAATATAGACATCCTACCAAAAGACGTAAGATTCAATCTCTTCGCCCAAGAACCACCAGGAGGACAACACATTTGTAACTTCCCTCCGTGACAGGACTTATGATATTACCGGAGTAACTTACTCCCTTTTTGTAACGTGAACATTATCACAATTATAACGTAAAACACACCCACACACACACATACACACACACACAAACAAACACACAAACACCAAAAAGACATTAATAAAATTGTATGGAATTACCATACAATAATTCGTGCCTTTTCTGTATTTTGCATATTTATTTTTCCTGTTTTTATCTTTGTAAAAACAAGCCTAAAATTCTACTATCACTACTGTTATGATGTGAGTGTATACACCACAACGTTCAGATTAACTGAAATGTGTAGGCATTTCTTTTTTTTTTTCTTTTCTTTTTTTTAAGCATTACGCCCCGAGCAAGGCGTGAAGATACTAGGATGCAGGGGGTTGCAGAAGATTTGGAGCGAGAGCAGATAGGAGTGATAGAAGAAAGGATGAGGAGAAGGATAGTGGATAGATCAAGTTAACTGGAGATGTCGAT